ACATGCTTGTATCAACTGCGGCAATGCATGACATCTTAATTGAAGTATCAACTGATACCAACCAAATGATTCGTGGATGCTGGCGTAGTTGTCCGCTCATGTCATCCACTCTTAAGCACGAATTTTTACATTATACAAGACCTAAGGGAACTATTGATTGAAACTGATGACACTTCATAACTAATATACTGCGCAATTCCAATCCCCTGAAAGGCCTTTGTGCGAAAAGACCCTAAAACGTAATAAGCTGAAAAAGCGTTCGAACGCTCAAAGTCCGGTCTCCACGCACTTTATTGAGGATGCAAAGATTACTGAAGATGTAAAGATCGCAAGGCTGTCTAAATGATTTGTGCAAGGTGAAATAGTATTGGTAACGGCAAGTGATAACGGTCACGGAATTCGAGAAGAGCCACACATTTTGCTATTGTTGTATATGGCAACTTCAAGCGCAGCACTTCAAAGCCAAATGGGCGACAGTTCATTCATAATGCTATGTTCAGGGAGATTGCTGAACTGCGGCATTTACCTCATACTATTTTTCATTCTTAGTGTTAAAAGTGTAAGATTGTGAATTATGCACAAATGACTTTCGAACTTTAGTAACGGGCGGACAGATCCGCAGGTTCCACTGACCCAGCACAACCGTTTGAACAAAAATGGTTTATCAAAATTGACAAACCGGAGAAGCTGAATATAACAAAAATATGAGAACAATAACAAGAGAAAATGAAAGGCTGGAATGGATGAGCAAAACAAAGATCAGATCACAATTGAACGAATCAACAACCTGAGGCCGGCAACCTGAGATATGGTGCAGCGTATGCCTCACAACTACGCTCTATGGTCTTACACACTCAAAAAAAAACTAGACTGCTAGAAAAACTTAAATATGCAATTAATTCAACCTGACCTAACCTAAGTAAACAAGGCCTAGACTTAGCTACATGTCCCCCCTGGGCATAAGTGTCGTCCCGACACTTAGTAAGGTCTAAAATGATATCCCCGATCGCTTCGTCGTCCTTGTCCCCATCCTGGATGTCGATACATGTGTCCGCGTCCTGGCTGCTCCAGTCCTCGTAGTACTTCTCTGCCTGGTCCGTGTGGTGCGTCTCCACGTCCTCGTCCAGTTGCACTTCGACCATGCAGTCGATATCCATATCCATCGTGTGAACGATTTCCATACTGGTGACGGTCCGCTTCACGATGTCTGTTCTTCTGCTGATGTACCTGCGTGAGCGGCTCTAGGGGCATGTCCCCTTTGCCGTAATCAACCAGCGTGCTCAGAAAATCCCAGATCACCGTACATGGATATCCTGTCCATTCGTTTTTCCTCGACCGTATTCCTACCGCAAGTGCTGGCTCGGTCACAGAGGGGGCTTGCGGTATCTTCGTTACAACGTTCGCTCTCGTGGCGTACGCGGCTTTTCTCACTGTGTTCATCAAGTCAATCACTTTCAATCGCATCGCTTCCCAGTCAGCTTCACCTCGTGGTGGTGCAACCGCGACAAACTTTGAGCCTCCTCGTGCTGCGTTGGTGAAGGCCATGCTGAGCTTCATCCACTCTCCTTTAGGTGGCACTTCATTGCACGTAGGTCCGACAAAAATTATGTTGTGGGGCTCTTGGACTTCCCTCAGCTTCTTGCAGATATCCGACAGACTCTTATAGATGAATGGCGTAGTGTTTTCCCCAAACTGCACTGCGTGCTTGAACCATGTGAATCCTTGGGGTAACAAGAATATAGCCTTTTCCTTCTTCTTTTCGACTCTGACATCTGTCCACGAATTCGACATCGCAAATCGAACACCTTCGTTCATCAAAGAGTTTACTTGGTCGATTGTTAATCCCGAGTTGCCATCGTGTCGCATTAATAAACTGCTGCCATCGTGGTGCATCAGATCCCGCATAGTATGTAGACAGTGGCGTTTGAAGTACACGTAGGCCTTCTGGGATCCTGAAGTTGTCACGAAAGTAGTTCTTGTCCCTCATCAAGAAATTCCTTTTGTCGGCATCTCGTTCTTGTTCGAAGATTGATATATATCGGGCTAATGAAAAGATGCTTGTGACTGGCAATGTCGATATCACTGGATCTACACCAGGAACGACGTCGCCAAAGGTCTTCCCTCTGATGTCACAGTCGAATTCATCCTCGCCGGGTTTTCTTCCTGGGCATGTGTGGAAAAGACTCAATGCGGAGTTATCCGAGAAGTCTGACGAAGTTGCCCTGCAAAAAATAGCATTACTCTTATTGTCTGTAGGCGCTAACTTTTTCCTACTCCATCTTTTTGTTTTTGTTTGGATTTGTTTATCGCCTATTTCTCTCGGTACTTTTATCAGCATGTCATATTGGACTCTGATACGCTCATCGTTACTGTTTAACCGCGATAAAAGTGCTGAGTTTTTACTAACTTCTAACACTCTAAAGGGACCATTCCATTCATTACAGAATTTAGGGTATTCCCACGCTTTTTTCACGCGGCAGCTTCACAAACACTCTGTCACCTACCCCTGGGTACTCTTTTCGCCCAACGTTGAATCTTTTATCGTAACTTTCCTTCATTTTAACTCTCATTTCTGAGTTACGCTCCTGCACAGACTTCTGAATCATCTCTATGCTAGCTAGGAGCTCATGTTTATAATCTTCAAGATCTACATGGTTAAATGAGAGTTTTTCTTGGGGAATTACTTTAGACGGGAATCTAGGATCGAATGCGTGTAGTATATAGAAGGGACTTTCACCTGTAGCTTCATGCGGAGATGAGATATATGCAAAAACCACCATTGGTAGCAATCTATCCCATTCCGCGGGTACAACTGTCTTTTTCTTTAACATTCTAGTCAGTGTACCGATAACTCTTTCTGTGATACCATTCTCCCGTGGGTTATAACCCTTGGTCACGGACTGGTCTATACCCACAATCTCACAGATTTCCGACAGAACATTGTTTACAAACTCCGGTCCTTGATCGAAGTGTATTGCTTTGGGCCAGCGGCAACCTCCGCATACCCATCTTTCAAAGAACATTCTCGCTACTGTTTCAGCTTTCTTGTCTGCAATGGGGTACGCTCCCACAAATTTCGAGAAATGATCAACCATTACTAATGCGTACATATTTCCCTTTCTGTACATCCTAACTCCACCAGATCCATGCCTACCAACTCAAATGGCGCGTTGGTTACGATTGGCTTGAGTGGAGGAGTATTCTTTTCGTGGACTCTTGTCAAAAAACACTTTGTACAAGCTTTTGTCCACTTTCCCAGATCTTCTCGCATTCCATTCCAGAAAAGATCTTTCCTCAGCTTTCTGTACAACTTCTTTGCATTCAGGTGTCCTGCTAATGCACCTGAATGTGCTTCGTCGAACAACTCTTTTCTCTTGGACTTTGGAACGACTTTTAGCGGCTTGTCCCCGTCCATCATCATGAGCAGTCCTTCGCTTATAAAGAAATCTGCTACATAGAGTTTTCTTCCGCATCTTGGTAGTTGGATATCTTCCTCCATGCTACCTTGTTCCAGTCCTTCAAAGACCTTTGTAAAGCCTTTGTCTTTTTTCAACTCTTCCAGCCATTCTGTGTCGGCTTGTACAGTGCACACGACTGTGGCATTCTCTTCGCAACATGCTGTATCTACCGGAACAGCTGTGCGCGATAATGCGTCTGCCACCGCATTTGTGCTTCCTTTGACATAGTGTATCTCTAGATTGTACTTCTGCACTTCTAGTGCCCATCTTAGCACTCTTGCAGAAATTGCTGTCCTTTTGAACAGACTTGTAAGAGGCAAATGGTCTGTTTTGATTATAGTCTTCATTCCATAGGCAAAGAAATGAAACTTCTTCAAAGCAAAAACTAGGGCTAGAGCTTGCAGATCTGTTATGTGATACCTGCTTTCGGCTTTAGTCAACCCTCTTGAAGCAAAGTATACGGGATGCAACATCTTATCAGTGCTCTCCTGACATAATACTGCACCCAAACCTTCCACGCAGGCATCAGTATAGATTATAAACGGACGAGTTCCTTCTTTTGCTGCATTCACATCTGGCTGGGCTAACACTGGTGCTGTACTCAGCTTTTGCTTCAAGATGTCGAATGCTTCTTCTTCTTCCTGCGACCATTTCCAAGGGTTCTTGGGACTTGTGAGTGTGTACAACGGCTTAGCTATCTTCGAAAAACTCAATATGACTTTCCGATAGTATGCGGCCATACCAAGAAAAGTACGAAGCTCCTTCAACTTCGTTGGAGCAGGGTACTCGACAAGCTTCTTCACTTTATCCGGATCGGTATGCACGCCTTTGCCATCAATTATATGACCGAGGAAAACCACTTGCGGCTCCAGAAGTTCGCATTTCTGCGGCTTCAGCTTGAGATTTACTTTTCTCAAAGCTTTCAGGACAAGCTCGAGGACGGCATAGTGTCTCTCCAGCGAATCCATAGCAATCAAGATGTCGTCTATGTACACAAAGACCTCCTTACCTTTCACTCCAGAGCCCTCTAATACCATATCCATCATTCGTTGGAACTCAGCAGGGCTGGTTGTCAATCCAAACGGCAAAACTTCAAACTCGAAAAGGCCTTCACTGGTGGTAAAGGCACTTTTCCTTTTTGCCTCTTCAGACAAGCGGATCTGCCAATATCCTGATATCATATCTAGGGTTGAGAAATACTTTTTCCCACTCAGACTCTGCAGTATCAGATCGATGGAAGGCAGGGGGTAGGAATCGTGCTTGGTCACTTTGTTCAGTTCCCTGTAGTCTACGCAAAGTCTTAGCGTTCCATCTTTCTTCCTCACTAAGACCACTGGCGAAGCCCAATCAGATCGGCTTCTGCGTACTATTCCTCTTTCTTCCAAATTCTTGATAATCTGTTTGAACTCTTGACGTGCTCCTAGGGGCACAGGTCTCGTCTTCTGCTTAATTGTCGGATGATTCCCCGTGTCGATGTTGTGCGTGACCAGGTCTGTTTGGGTTAATTCAGAGTCGTTCACAGCGAACACATCTGAGTACTCCTTAACCAGGTGCAGCAAAGGTTTTGGCTGCTTGTCGCTTCTTGGAAGTGCTTTCATTACTTCCTGCATTCTCTGCTTCTCTGTCTTACTAGCTTTATTTTGAAGATCCAATACATCCGCAGTTGGTTCAAGCCACTTGCTGTCGACCCAGTCACCTTTTTCAAACTCTCCGATAGCTTGCCCTTTCTGCAGCACCATCGGTTCGCTACTTTCATTTGTAACGGGTATTCTTGTCTCTCCTTCTGCTGACTGTTCGCACACTCCATCTGGTATCTTTTCCGAATTTGAGCAGAACATGCATGCTGGGCTTCCTTGCATGTACGATACCGTTACCACTTTGCTTGCTCCTGGTGGTATATACGTACGCTTCCTCACTATAGCTGGGCATGCTTGTGATTCATCCTTAGCATCTATGAGCAGGTCGCCATTGATATCATTACGCATCACCCTGAGGCCAAACTTGCTCAACACGTTTGTTCCCAATATGAAGATGTCCTTCAAGGATCTGCTCACGTACAGCGCATTCTTCTCGGTCTTGCCAAAGACTTCCATCGGCATTCTGATCGCGTCCAAAATCTCCATCTTATTACCAGAAGCATCCCGTATCGTAACTTCTCTCATTCCTGGGACTCTTTCTACAATTGAGTCCAGATCAACTCCCTCTGCATCGGCCTGTTTGAAAAAATTCAGTGGCGCTATGGATGTTTCTGAACCAGTATCGATGAGAGCTTCTACTTCCATGTTCATCGCTTTTGCCGGGACCAGTAGCTTCTTGCCGACAAACTCATGTACATTCTGAGTGTTACTCAAGGTGGCACACGACCAACTATGAAGGACGGTCGAAAACGATGACGTCTCGTTCTCGCCACCTTGCTTTGGAGATTCCTTTCTGGTCTTTGGCTGCATGCATTGTCTGGCTTTGTGTCCCGCTTTCCCACAATCCTACTATAATAACGCGCTAAGGGTGTTTACGTTTTTTTGTGTGTGTGTGTCTGAATGTCTGTCTGTCACGAAATTCATAGCGCGAGTTCCAGCCGACGTCCTGAGCCCAAATCTTGCATAGCGCATGCTACCAGTATAAAAGTCCACCATGCGAAAGCACGAGCGGATTTGTTAAGTGGATCCCTCAGAAACTGCGCGTCAGCCGGGTCCAATTGGCTTTCGGCCCGCATATCGGATCCATATCACCACTTTTTGCAAAGTCGTGGATGTGCTTAGCATCTCCATGTGCAAGCCATGGGTTTTGCTCCAAAAAAAGGATCAAAAGTCTACTACTTTACAAAAACGACGCCGAAAAATATTGATTGCTCGATGGTCGATTTGCCAAGGTTTTACTAGAGCATTTGAAAAGATTTTTGCACAGAGATGTGGCTCAGAGTGTTATTGTCCTTATAGCAACTACCTAGCCAGAAAAAAGTTCAAGAACCTATTCAAATTTGCATTTGTTCTTCTGCGAAAAATTTCGTCCTCTCAAAATTACCGTTCTCACATGGAAAAGCTTTGGAATGAGTAGTTGTTTACATTTTATTCGTGATATTCGGCATCGTCCGGTGAGTTTCAATGCCATCACAAGGCATGAATGAGTAAGGCGTACAGAGTAGGACACAGCGAGCCCCTGCGAATCAGTGTATTTCATAGCGCAAGCTGCAGCCATTATTTCGAGCTGATTTTTTGGCTATAGCACGCCAGCAGCACCCAGGTTAATTATGTAAAGAAGTGAGCGAATCTGTTTCGGTGAATCGCGAGTCAAACGGATCCACCAGGCATTTGCTAAGGCAAAAACGAGATCCTAATGCAAGGAGTCTGCAGTAACTGTAAGACTTTTAACTTAGACATCTTCTAAGCCCTGGAATTCATGGCCGATACATAGCAAAAAGTTAATTTCGTGCAAAAGTGGCGTCAAAAAGAGATGACTCAACTGTTCATTTTCAAAACACTCACTGTATAGCTGGAAATATTCTAGGCTGGGAATGTAGCGTGCATCTGTTGTTGTTCTAATTAGCCAACATCGCACTGATAAAACGGATTCAAAATTACACCAACCGTTCATCAAAAGTTTTGCCACGCTAATTTTACCGGTTTCACATGAAAACCTCACAGAATGAATGGTTGTTTACATCATATTCTTCCCGATCAGAATTTTTCGGGGAGGTTCAAAGCAATTTGAGAGATGAGGCAGGGCACCGTTTAGCTCTGAGGACAAGCATGGACGCGCAGACCCGCACGGCACCATATTCATGGGGTGCATAGAGCCAGTACCTGCTGTGGACGTACCACACTTTGCCTTTCTTAAGAGAAGATGTTGCTCAAAAACTATAGAGTAGGACCAGTGCGATCCTCTGCGAAGCATCATCATCCACTTTCATACCTTCACCACTTTTTGCAGAGTCGTGGATGTGCTTAGCATCTCAGTGTGCAAGTCATGGGCTTTGCTCCGAAAAAGAGATCAAAAGTCTACTACTTTACAAAAGGACGCCGAAAAGTATTAATTGCTCGATGGTCAATTTTTCAAGATTTTACCTGATTATTTGAGAAGATTTTCGCACAGAGGTGTAGCCCACTATGTTTGTTGTCCTTCGATCGATCTCACATAAAAAACATCTACGAATGAGTAGTTGTTTACGAATTATTCGTGATAGCCTAAGCCTACATAGCGCGGTGATTCAATGTCATTATTATGCGGGAATGAGTAACGCATACAGAAGATAGGACCATTGCGAGCCTCTGGAAGCAGAGGTGACGCACTGGTTGAAACAATGCTTGGTGTCTTCTGTACCGGGTAGCCACTTCCGGATACTTTCTTCTTCCACAGTCGTTCTATCCTTCCTGTGGTGTTCCGTGCCCACTTTTTCCGGGTTTACCTCCCTTTTTGATGCTAGTGGTGTGTCCATGTGCAACCTTTTATGGTGTGCACTTTTATTATGTTTCCCTTCTTTTCTGCCCAGATTTCTTTCCAATCTTAACGCCGCTTCCTTGACTCTCTCGTAGACTATATCCCGGGGACTAGTTTCGATAGCTTCAGCCAAGATATAGCTGCCCTCCCATTTAACTAATTGGGAATATAGGATTTCTGCTTTTTGAAGTGATACTCCTTGCATTTCTTCATCAGGATAGGCTTGATTTGCCGTTCTTTCCAATAAAAAGCAGAAATCACTCACTGATTGGTTATCCTTTATTTTCAAATTCCTTAACATTGCCAGGGCTTTTACACTATTTGTGTTCCCCCCTTCGGATAACCTTTCTTCCATGGCCTGAACAACCTCATCAAAGGGCCCCCTTTTACGTTTCGCGGTAACGTTTCGTATAGGTTTAGAGCTTCCCTTCTCAAAAACTCTCAAAAAGCTGTTTCAAGCTATGGTCATCCCAGTGCCTCCTAGGGTATAAAATCAAAAACCCTTTAATGAACTGCTTAAAACTCTGTTGGTTTACCATGGTATGGTTTGACGTCAGGCACTGTGTTTGCTAACATAAAATCCTTCATGGTAAACTCAGCATCAGAGTTACTCCCCTCTTTAGTGTCACATAAACCGTTCGCCCACCTGTGTCCGACGGACGTGCACTGTCTTTCTCTAAGCTTGGCTTGAGCGTACGCAAGGAGCAACTCGGGGTCGAGGCCAGCACAGTATTGCTCGAGGTTGGCACTTGGTCCTGTAATGACACCATATAATCTTCTTTGTCCATGTTTGCAAATCTTTCATATTTGCTTTTTAATAATGTATGCTGACGATTACCTTCCGTATCCGTCTCCCTGTCGGAATCGTTGTCGGACTGATCCGTATTGGCTGCACGATAGCTGCGGGCTTTGCCCATGTTCCGAACTTTAGCCGTGAAACGTTGGACCTGTAATTGCAAGTCTTGCACCTGCTCATAGTATTTTGCACATTTTCTTTTGTATGTCTGTACCTCACTTCTCACTCTTTCAGCTTCTTCCACCAGCTCTTCCTCTCTGCATGCTAGTGTTCTGCACAATGTTGCGATCAAACTAGATTGAGCAAGCTTTCTGTCAAGGCAATGCTCTAGTTTTTCCGCTGTTAGCAGCTTTGCTTAAGTGAGAATTTCGAAAACTTCGGGCTCTACGCGCATCTGTTCAGCGTCAGCTTTAGCGCCCACTCTTTCCACTACTACTTTGATTTCTTGCTCAAGATTATGTATCTGCTGGTCTACCATGTTCATCATGGCGTCTGTACGCTTATCACCTAGGCGGAATAGGCTGCTTAACTCTTTCTCCCATTCCTCTCTCAGCAGGTTCAAGCAATTAGTCAATCCCTTGGGATTTCCTGCTGCAATAGGAGACTGCGCTCTTACCTCCGTTTCCGTGACTTTGTCTCCGGTACTATCACGCTGTTCGCTGTGCTCGTCACGCTCGGAACTCATCTCTTATTCAGCCTTGATCTGCAACAGAGATTTTGAATGACTGCAAAATCTGCGATGCAAAACGTACGGTACACGATGCGAACAGAACAATCAGACACACAGTATGACTCCGTTGGTACTGGCTACGCCTTTGCGGTAGCAGTCTTTTTTTGCGGCCTGAGGCGCACTTTCTCTCTATCTTACTCTGTTCTCGCGGCCTATGGCGCGCGTTCTCTTGTTTCAGTTCTCGCGGCCTACGGCGCGCGTTCTTTTGTCACTCTCTTCGCGGCCTAAGGCGCGCGATATGTTCGGTTTCAATCGACCACTAAAGGATCGATGATTTATGCGGGGCCTGAGCCGCCGCTTTTCTGATCAATATGGGGAAACAAATGCCCCAACTCTCTCTCGGATTGAACCGGATAGAGTTATGCGGGGTTTTAACCGCCGCTCTGAATTACTTATTCGGGGGTTTTTAAACGCCCCGAATTTCAGCTTCTTCTGGAAGGTCTGAGACGCTTCCACGGTTGTTCTAGTGAGTCAGCGGCTCGGCCCCCAAGTAACGGGCGGACAGATCCGCTGGTTCCACTGACCCAGCACAACCGTTTGAACAAAAATGGTTTATCAAAATTGACAAACCGGAGAAGCTGAATATAACAAAAATATGAGAACAATAACAAGAGAAAATGAAAGGCTGGAATGGATGAGCAAAACAAAGATCAGATCACAATTGAACGAATCAACAACCTGAGGCCGGCAACCTGAGATATGGTGCAGCGTATGCCTCACAACTACGCTCTATGGTCTTACACACTCAAAAAAAACTAGACTGCTAGAAAAACTAAAATATGCAACTAATTCAACCTAACCTAAACCTAACCTAAGTAAACAAGGCCTAGACTTAGCTACACTTTTCTGTCTTTGCAAGTAACAGTTGACTTATCACTGTAACATTTCCCAGAGCTCTACAAAAAAGCTTTATATCGCTTGGTACTTTATAATATTTTTCCACACTTTTGAAGCGTAAGCGCATAATGTGATGAACAAATGTAAAACAAAAAATTTCATACGAAAACATACGTGCACGTGCACATTTCATCATAAACAGACAGAAACTGCATAATCTCGCGATCAGTGAACGGGCAAAACTGCTGAACTTCGTCTGAAGACGGCTGAGATGAGCATTGACAATAGTTCCCGTCACTGCTTTCAAACTAAGAATATTGAATGTTGTCTTGGGTTGTGAAAGGTATTCGGAAATACAAGCCACTAAAAACAATCACTGCTTCGAAGAACTTGACGTCACCGATACGTTACTGACTAATAAAGCGTACTACCAATTTTGGTTACTGACTAAAGGGGACATACGCAAAAAACCGATTTCAGTTCAGCTAAAAACATAGTGAAGGTACTACGACGCTGGAGAGGAACTATTTGAGACTCCTTAAATAATATACTTTTGTAATGGATGGGTAATAAAAACGGGAGAAAATACGGTTAGAGTAAGGACGTGTTTTTGTTTAAGCGACCTACTTTAGTGGACGATAACTCCCACAAAATTGAGTTTTACCAGCATTTACTAAGAAGTTAGCATCGTACGACTTCAAAAGCCAATTTTGCAGAAGAGAATAGTTAACAACTGAGGTTTTTACGATATAGAGTCAATAAGTGATAGCTCGCACACCCAACTATTAGAATTTGTTTAGGTACAATCACATCAGATGGAGCTAGTGAGATCAGTACTGCTGTGTCGAAATCGATGTCTGCTTCTGTTACAACCGATGGTAATCAATGGACGTAGTTTTGTGAGAATCATAATGATAAGAAAATGATTGATTTTCAGAACCTACGACTAACACAAATACCACGACTACCACTACGACAGCTCCGGTTGGTGAAAGCCAAGAGAAATTGTTATCGGCCGAGCCCATCAGTTCGCCTTGCGGGAGAACTGCCTTTCGCCCACCTCTGGGACCATCGGCCATACCTACAGATCAGATATTGATCATGAAAGAAAAAACAGAAGGTGATTATATTTTTGCAAGATCACAACAAGCATGCATTCTCGAACAGAATATCATAATGATAAGAAAATGATTGACTTTCAGAACCTACGACTAACACAAATACCACGACTACCACTACGACAGCTCCGGTTGGTGAAAGCCAAGAGAAATTGTTATCGGCCGAGCCCATCAGTTCGCCTTGCGGGAGAACTGCCTTTCGCCCACCTCTGGGACCATCGGCCATACCTACAGATCAGATATTGATCATGAAAGAAAAAACAGAAGGTGATTATATTTTTGCAAGATCACAACAAGCATGCATTTCTCGAACAGGTAGACGCAGGTTCAAACCTTCCGCTCAACATCTTTTTGACGACTGCCAATTTTCTCACAATTTGTCAGAGCACTTCTAAATCGATGTCGAACGCAGTACACGTATTGGATTGATTCATGAGCAAACGACCATCTTCCAAATGCCATTTCATCCCACAACTTTCATATCACTTCCCACTTGTTTCTTAATAGTCATGTGACACGACCTAGTATCCACCTCACCTCCCACGAAGGATTTTGCTCCGCATGTACTACAAACCGAAACCCACCCCCGAAACTGGGTCGCGAAATTTTAAAGTTACATAAGTTATGAAAGAGTGCAAGTGACTTGTTTATACGTGTAAATAATTAGAATTTTCAAAAAAATTTCAAAAGGTCAGTTTAGCCTTGTATAAAAACTTTTTTCGGGGGCATGGCTGGCGCCACGCCCTCTTTTTCTGAAATTTTGGTGGGTCCGCGAAGATCTTGGAAAGCATTCCAGAATTTTCCCAGTGCGTGGCTAATGCCAGAAAAAATTTTTGGTCTGTCTTGTCCCCCCCCCCCCCCCCCGAACAGAATTTTTGGGTATTCACTGGTTCTAAAGAACTTTATCAGGTCTCCTTTTGAATATACAAAAGATTTTGATGGCATAGGTCTAGCTTGTACGATGCTTATCGTTGTCATCATAATGTAATCCTTAATGAGAAGATGATGCCGTTGCAAACCATCGATTTTCATAACTTATAATAACGGGCTAAGGGTTGTTTACGTTTGTGTGTGTGTGTGAATCTCTGTCTGTCACGAAATTCGTAGAGCGTGTTCCAGCCAACGTCCTGAGCTCAAATTTTGCACAGCGCATGCTACCAAATTGAGAGTCCAGTATACAAAAGCACGAGCGGATCCGTTGTGTGGATCCCTCAAAAAATGCGCGCCAATCGCACCCACCTGGCTTTTGGTCCCCAAAATTGGGTCCGTAATTCCACTTTTTGCAGGCTCGCGGATGTTTATGGCAAGTAAATGTGCAAACCATGAACTTAGGACCAAAACAGTGATTAAAAGTTTATTACCTTACAAAAACGGCGCCAAAAAGTATTGGTTGCGTAAATGGTCATTTTGCCAAGCTTTTACCAGAGCATTTGATGAGATTTTTGCACCTAAATGTAGCTTATGGTGACTACTGTTCTTATGGCGACTGTCAAGACTGTGGGAAAATCAAAAACGTACAAAATTTTGCTTTGTTCTCCTGCAAAAAAATTTCATCCACGCGAAATCACCGATTTCACATGAAAAAGCTTTCGGAATGAGTATTGTTTACATTCTGTATATGATAGTCGGCATTGCTCGGTGAGTTTCAATGCCATCATCATGCGAGAATGGGTAGGGCCTAGATAGTAGAACCAGTGCGAGCCTCTGCGAAGCAGAGGTGACGCACTGGTTACTTATATATGCCTCTATCTTGTAGACAGAGTAGACATAACGCTCTCGAAGGCAACAGTATGGTCAATCACACCGAGTAATGCAGGACGTCGTAAAGAACTTTCAAAAGTCAATTGATGGACTAGTCTCATCATAGTATCAAATTTGAACTGTACTTTCCTTGTTCATATGCTGCAATCCATTCCCATTTGGAGGTTTGCAGATCCTTCAGCACCAAAGTCCTCATCATCACGTTGTCCTTGTATGAGCAAAATCGTCTTCTCTGTATAACGCCCGAGATTCAGAGGAGTAGACTTTTATTTTCATTGGCAGGCGAGTTTCAACATTGTTGGTTTATACACAACTCCGATCCTTTATGCTTACGCTCATACTCTTCATAAATTAAGAATCATTTGGCCACACTTTTTTCTATAAGCAGCAGAAGCAATGCAGAGTAAATATGAAGTACATCAGAGAGAGGCTACAAGGACTTGCAGAGCAATCACTTGATTAAGCATATTGAAGCACCATAATAATAAAAGACACTAGCTGGCTTTCGCGGTCCAGCCCGGGCCATTTTTCACTGGGAAGAGGTAGATGCTATTTTGTTCACATAATTGAGGGGAGGCTCCCTCCCCCTTTCTTGTGGATGACTTACCTTGGGACATTTCCAGTTCATTTCCCACATCTTCGGAATTCTGGACTAAAACGCTCACCACCCCCTTTACGTGCTTCATTTCTATAGAAATGTGTAAGCAAATTGATAAATCAAAACAATGGCCCAACGAATGAAAAGTGGAACTGACCTGTGGGGTCGAAGAATACGTGTGCAAAATTCCAGCTCAGTCGGTTCATGGGCCGACGTTTCACGAACAACTACCTAACAAGCACACGTACAAAACTTGAGTTTTAGGCAGGCGCTATGCTTCTCGGGTACAGCATGGCGACGATCGATACGCATCAAATACGTGTAAAACCGGCTATTCTTGTCGCCGATATTGGCGATCGCCAATCGTGGCGCTTGGCGATCGCCAGTTTTGGCGACTACATGCTGGATGGGTATTGATTGGACATGTAAACTCATGCCAGCAATTGATAGCTATCTAACGTGCAGTCGCCAACTTTAGCGACTAGCGATCGCCAGTCGCCATGCTATACTCCTCGAGGAGTATAGCGCCTGCCTTATATAAATCTATAGAGTCGAAACCACAATTCACTTACAAGGGTTCCAGATGGGAAGTGCGCAGCCACAGTGGAGAAGGGGCCGCTTTCCAGAGCGAAGCATGCCCAACCCTCTTTAAAGCTCCGCCTCTCGCCTTTAGCTAGAGACCTTCACAATTAGCAGTAAATTTTGTTCGCGCTTCATATCTGGAAGACCTCAAGCCCGTTAAAACGTTTGCCATCATTATCGTAATCTTAGGCGTACAATGGAAATTACAAAATGAAATATTCCTGTCAAAGGTGCATCTAATCAGCTCTAATCATCTAATAATCTAATCATCTAATCGGCATATGCAGGATTGGAGGTGAGGTCTTTCCAATGACATCGTGCATGTTTTTCCTGCATCAGGTCCTCAAAGGCAGTATCCCGGCAAATTCGGCTGTGAGATATAGCTGTTAGGGCCTGGCCACCCACTAACCTCCAGGTCCAGTTCAAATAGTCGATGTTAAAGCTGCGCCGAGAAAATAGTTTTCGAAGCGGCGCGCGCAACCCCAGTCGGAGTCGAAAATTGGTTGGACACTTATCCGCATCATCGATTCTCCGATGGTCGACTTTGTTTTGCAAAAAAGAAAGCGTACTTGTACGAAGAATTTATTCCACGTCAGATTTGCAATGTTTTTTGCGGCTTTTGTGTATGTCTGTGTCTCTAAGACAATGCAAAAACCGTTTACTCAAATGCAACCTTTCGCAAAATTGATTTATTTTATTCTCACAATCAATGTAAGTTTCATTCAGATCAAGACGTTAGCACCGCTCATGGTGAAAGACCTACCTCCTCTATGTCAATGTCCATGGGTAAGAAAACTTGAACAGACTCTAACCAAAGGTTACGATAAAGTTCATGCTTACAGATAGCTCTACGAACACGTACGAGTACAGATCAAGGGCAGAAGAAAGTATGAGTGGCGATTCTATTCCAACAGCTGTACCTATTGGAAGCCCTTGTGGAAGGACTAGATTCCACGTTCCTCTCGGGCCTTCAGCAATACCAACGGATCAGATTATGATATTTGATGCTCAGACTACCACTGGAGGTCAGAACTTTATAGTAAAATGTTGCATGCCCTTTCAAGCCTGATTTTGCAACCAACTTTGGAAACAATTCAAAAGCAAATGGCGCTTGTACGGTCTTCCCTTAAGCAGCTCCCTGCACGACCAAAAGTGCGCAGTTGGTGGTCAATAAAATCAATCGCTAGAATTAATAGTTGACAAAGTTTCAAAATTGACATCGCACTCTCCACACTGATTCATACAGATCCAATTTTTGGTTTCTGCATGAAGGAAAACGCTAAAATGATTAGTCAATATGAGGAATTGACATTGAAAAACATTTTTATCTCGTAATGAGCAGATTACGGGGACGAGTGGCGTAGTGGTATGAGGCGCCACTATGACCAGATCGGACGCAGGTTCGATCTCCGCCCTGGTCCAACCAAGCCCTCTACCCTCCGGGGTTATTTGGTACCAGAGTAATCTGGGAGGTTAAAAGTACTGACTTGTAGATGGCTGGCCCTCGCAAGTCACTGTAATGGGCTTGCACGCATACAATTGCCTCTTCGACCATGAAGCAGTGTGCGTTCGGCGCAGCCCGCAGAGAGTATTGAAGACACGCCGAATCCTTTACACTTTTTGATGAGCACATTTACTCTTGTATCAACATTGCCAATCTCCTCCAGCTTTCGAAGTTGTTTAATTGTTTATATCTACCTTTTGGACAGTTGACAATGCAACCCTAGTATTAAGATCAATAACACGTATATCTTTAAAAAGGTCAAATATAACCAGTTGTATACTAGGCAAACCACTATTTACGTTAATTAGCATAATTTTTTAAGCAAACATTCATATCAGTTTTCAGCTCTTCTCCTTGACCTTGAGGAGAAGAGAACCTTGCTGTGATAGATACTACTCAAATAAACCTTTTTTACCAGTACGTCACCTCTGCTCCGCAGAGGCTCAGAGAGGCCATTACGTAGCTGTACCGGTCTTTCGATCATTCAACTGAATAAACCAGTATGGACAGATTATTTTTGTACTCTCACACGCTTGGAAGCACTGTAAATGATTCTTCTATGTTTCGTTGGAGACCAACCCCAAAGACTGACAAATTAGCGGCTTCTTGTAAGCCGTAATTTTCATAAATTTGAGCTGATGAAGAGTGACGACCATATTTCTTTTGTAAATCTAAATCAAATCTAGCCTTTCAATGGGTGCTAGGAAGTTCGCGATAATAGGGAGATATATATGGTGACACCTTATATATCACATTCTACTAACAGATAAGAGGTCAAGCTCTATGCAATCTATTTGAGTATCTATTTCAGACAGCCTTGGAAGCACAACAACAGAATTCAGTGCAGCTGCGGAAAATATTGAACACAGTCCACAGCGAATACGAACAGCATCACCGATAGGAACACCATGTGGCAGAACAAAATTTCAAGTGCCGTTAGGGCCGTCTGCAACACCTACTGATCAGATTCTCAGATTTGAAGAACAAGTGACAACTAGAACGGTAGTCCCTAACGTGCCTGGTTCCTTGTACTCAACTGCAAAGGATATTACCAATTTTACCCCACTCACGGCGGCATTGGGTAATCAGCCACTCACCGGGTTTGACCAAGATCAGTGGAATCTGGCCAGAAACGATACCAGCGATCCAAATATAACAAACATGAAAACTGCTCGTGAACCATCAGAAGTCAGGGTACAGTCAGAAAAGGAGAAGAAAGCTTTTTCCAGATCTCCCTTGTCGCCCATCGCAAATACAGCTAGATTGCCATCTGGTGACACGTTGTTCAAGGAAAGTGAAATGCAGATGAATGAGAATGCAAATCAGAAGAAAGAAAATGATCAAATGCAGCAAATTCCTAGTCAGTCTCCCATTCCTCAAGGTGAGACTTTGTACGCTCTCCGGTGAAGAATTCTCCCTTAATATTGCAGAAACTACACCAGAAGGATTACCGCAAGTAGAAGTAATCAAACTTTGGCCGCGCGATGGTAAGCATGGGCAAGACTTCTGCATTCAAACCTGAACTAGACAATGACAGAATATGCGTGTCCTTTGCTGTGCTTTTCCACTCTCGGCACTCAGCAATGATAATAATGAATTTGAGTTTCAATGATTATGCAACTGTAGCAGCGTCTAGGGAGGATATTGGAAACTTGAGATGACAGTCACATCATTGACTTATGGTACATGCCTCTCACAAAACGTGCAAAACTTTCGAAATGTTGCGATGATCCAAGAGTTTCGTTGATCTCGTAATACCTTTGATGCCGCGAAATCAAGCGAAACAAGCAAATCACCGAGCGGTTTGACTTCCACCAAAATGCGTGTCCGCATCCATAAAACGCTCGTAAATTGACCTCAATTTCCTGTGAAAACGTCTTTTCGCGAGGATGCAGCACCTAACCATACAAAAGAGATTCCCTCAGTACGCTTCGATAAAGCTGCCTCCATAGATTGCTCAGAATTAGAGAACCGCCGGAGACTTTTTTGAAAGAAGTGCAGGTGCATTTCGGAAATATGCAAAATCCACCCAACTACATCTAAGGCAAACACTTCGAATGACTAAATTAGAAATTCTTAACAAACAAAAAAAAGAAAAACTGACAAGGGAAGGATACTCGGTCAAAGTGGCCATTTGAAATGAGCTGTATATTGGGAAACCGTCCTCCGTAAGGCAAACTCAAAACTACTTTCGGTAGGTGCCGAGCGGTTTTGTGGGGGGAGTTACAAGGCCATTTTCCTCCGGCGCAGCCAGCGCACCCAGTGATGAGCGAGGCGTTAGAGTAACGCGTCAATGTGGCAGTGGCGCAGTGGCAACGCAGCGGACTGCGAAGCAGATGGTCGAGGGTTCGAGTCCTGTTGCTGCTACTTTGTTTTGCAGTTCTGTAAAAAGTCTATTGGGTGACAGCAAACGAGAAATACTATTTGGCAGTTCAAACAAGTTATTTACTGCAAAAAAGTCACTATTTCTACAATAAGCCATAATCTTTTACAATATGTGAATCTGTGGAGGTTATGATGTCACAACAATGGGTTCAAATGATATATTAACATGCATGGAATACAACCACAGAATGCTTAAAGCAGAAGCGCTTCTCGCCGCGCGCACTTGCAAAATTGCAATCGATTCACATCCCATTTATTGGCTCTTGATCTGAACTTTACCTTGCATCATAGGGATTCCATCCTTAAGATCTTATCGCTCATTTACACACAATTTTGCTCGCCGCGATTCAAAAATTTGCTTTCATACCCATGGATGCAGCCGGATACACTCACAACCACGCCGGCGAATTCGAGTCTCCTATTCAGTACTGTTTTTCACCGAATTTGATAGGCAATTGTGAAGCTGCTGATTGTGATCGTTTCATTTTATCCGATGTGCGCGCTGCGAGAAGCTCTCCTACTTTGAGCATTTTGTGGTTGTATTCCATACATGTTAATATATCACTTGAATCCCTTGTTGTGACATCATAACCTCCACAGATTTACATTATTTTAGAGGATTATAGCTTATTGCAGAAATAGTGGCTATTTTGTAGTAACTAGCTTGTTTCGACTGCCTGGAAATAGTATTTCTCGTTTGCTGTCACCCAATAGACTTTTTACAGAACTGCAAAACAAAGTAGCAGCAACAGGACTCGAACCCTCGACCATCTGCTTCGCAGTCCGCTGCGTTGCCACTGCGCCACTGCCACACTAATGCGGTATTCTAGCGCCTCACTTATTACTGGGTGCACCAGCTGCGCCGGAGGAAAATGGCCTTGTAATTCCCCCCACAAAACCGCTCGGCACCTAGCGAAAGTAGTTTTGAGTTTGCCTTACGGAGGACGGTTTCCTGATATACAGCTCATTCCAAATGGCCACTTCGACCGAGTATCCTTCCCTTGTGAGATCTCTTGGCACTCGTCATAGAGCGCTTATTCCTGAATTACAAAAGACTGCCTCAGAAATAAGAAAGGACAAGTTTAAAATGCAAAACCTCTCACATTTGATCTCCTAAGCGTTCCAACGCCTATATTAACTTGCATCATCGGCTTCCAGATTTATGGAAGTGGGGTTCTCACCAGCTCACAGCGTGGGGGTTTTTGCCAGCGAGAAAGTACGAAAAGCAATGCCATAACGTGGAGGTTCAACAGGTTTATCCGTGTTATCAGGCAAAGTCTGCAATACACTTCCACACGAATCTGGAGGCCGATCATACTTGCTCCTATGCGTTACGGATTTACCGTGTGTGTCACAGATTTACACGTGAATGCACGTCAAAGAGAAACCGGGACACACTCTGACTTTGTGCCTACACACTCCATTGTCGTTACGAGAAATGTTGAATTATCATCTATTTCATGACTAAGAGACGCGAGACCGCATTGCGAACATTGTCTTAACAAGTTTGAGCTTGTTCTTCCCTGTTCCCAAAGAGTGAATAAACCTGGATGTGATAATCAACGAGTACAAACCTGCTAAGTACACGATTAGGCTTGTTTAGACAGTGTGTGCATTGCGGTCTCGCGTCTCCCAGTCGTATAATGAATGATATATAGGCTACTTTGAACAGCTCCAAATAAAGTTGCTCAATCAACAGATGTATCGGTCTCATTCTGTAAAACAAATTTGTTTTTTAGTGCGTATGTCACCCACTCTTGGAGTTGTAACTGCCAGAGAATGTAAGTAAAACTACGAAGTGATGCGAATTCTATGTGATCTAATTACATTTTTTACCTACTATGATATGGCATATTTCGAAATAATCAAACAACTTCGGCCAAGATAGAACTTCAGTTCAGGTCTAGGCTAATTTTGTGTTTTTAGGGATGATGTCACCAACTCCTGGAGTATCCACTGCACAAGAAAGTAAGCAGCTTCAAAAAATAGCACAACAAATTCAAAGGTTATGAATATGCCTTTAGCTATGAGTTTGAAATAGAGCTAACACATCTACGACGAGGCCCAACGATTACTGCCATTTCGGACCAGAGTCTTTTTCGCTTTCCCAAGCATACGACCCATTTTGAACTTTGTGGAGCTTTGTGGGATGAAAAAGCAAAAATTCAAAAAAAAAATTGATAGGTTTCTAGAAGAGCTGGCATGAGTACTGCCCAGGTGTCCCCAATCAGGTGCCAGAACCTCGTGGAATTTCAACGTACGGTGGGGCGCATAGTCCGAAATGGCAGAACGCGTGCCTACCGGTGAATTTTTCGTGTATGTATTGGCTTTCCTGTAAAAAAAAACAATGAAATCTCTTCTATCCTAAAAATTAATCGACTAAGAATGGGCGTTTTTCAAACTCATTTTGAATTTGTGAATGAATATTCTCAAACCTTTAATAAGGTTGCATCAGGTTGTCAAGAAAATAATGTCGATTCCAGTTGCTTGCAAAGGCAGGTGATTCCCAAAAACGCAGAAAGACACTACTCATTAATGCTTCCGCGCCGAAGTCGTTCTGTATGAAGGTAGAAAATTAAAATCTAAAAAGTTTCAAGAATCGAAAAGAACCTTGTTTCCGTCCAAGAGCTTTCGCATGCACATCTATACTATCCACATCAGACATGTATACAGATAGTTGCTGTATTTCTTCCCTCACTAGAAACTGAGGAATAAAAATTTTGTTTCTCGAATCACTCTAAGCCGTTCTGACATAAGTAATTCTATACTACAAGCTTTTTTAAATATAGCAGTAACTTTTTTGAAATTTTTCGAGCGATAGTTTTGAGAAATATCATAATTAAACCCGATTGAACGTACATCCCCGTTGGGGAGGGGAGAGGATCTGAGAGAGGATGCGTCATATCTTACTAATCTACGTATCTTTCTTCCTCTTTCTCTATCTTGCATATAAAGTTTTTCATACACTTATTCCTGCGCATAATGGAATCCAGATTACTTCCATACAAGATTGTGCCATTTTGTGTGATCCTAGGGGATCCCCAGATGATCGATCCCTGGGGGATCACTTCTCATTTTCAAAGTGATTTATCTTCCTGAAAAGTCAATGAAAACGCTCTAAAATTGTACTGTGATGTACAACGGCAGCGCTAAGCATGTTTTCGACAGGAGAAATGGAATCTGAAGATTGTGAATTTTTCGATGATCCCTGGCTCGCGAGCTAGGGACTACCGAAGATTTCGATATCTTGAGATTTCACTTATTTCTACTATAAACATCTTTAGCAGTGCCGTAGTATATACACAGTACAATTTTACAGCGTTTCATTAGGTTTCCAGAAAAATAAATGGCACTGATGAGAGGTGATCCCTTGAGGTCCCCTGGGTATCCCCAGGGGATTACAAAATAGTGAAAATCTGATTAATTATGTCAGTAACGTGGCATCAATTATGCGCAGGTACTAGGATATGAGAACCTTTATAAGCAGGAAAGAGAAAGAAGAAGAAAGACACCTCGAGTAGCGGGATATGATGCATTCCCTCTCAGATCCATTCCCCTCCCCATCGGGGATGTACGTGCATGCGGGCTTAGCTTCCTTCCTCTGGTTTTCTTCTGCTAAACTTTGCATTTTCCGAGAACTAATTGTTCGAAGAAGGCTAAGTAACATCTTTAATTACAGATTGTTTAGACCTACTCATTGTTTAGACCTACTCATGCCGGAACGGCCTTCCTTGTTTCGAGAAAATATTTTAAATTTTTCGACTCCTCAGTTTCTAGTCAAGGAAGAAATACAGCGACTGCATATACGCGTCTCGTGTCGACGCATAGATGTGTGCGAGTGGGTGTTGTATAAGGTTTTTGGGAAAAGATACAATTTTTCGTTTCTTCGAACACTGAGAACTCTTAAGATTTTGAATTCCAATCACGTGTAACAATTTTGATGCGGAAGCATCAGTACCAATTTGTAAAGCTTGCTTTGCTCTAACAAAACCTCTCGTGTACTCTTGGGGTTCGCTTGTTTGCGGTACTATAGCAAGTACCCTAATTTCTCGCGTATGGCCCCGACAGACTTCACGCGATTTAATCGTCGCGACTGAATCGCGACGAGACAACTGTTACAACATCATTCCATGCCGATCAACTTGCATTTCGGTTGTGATACTTTTCCAGCCCGAAATTTTTGAATATGAAATGAAAATGAATGCAAATCTCGGCGATTGAGTCGCGACGATCAAATCGCGTGAAGTCTGTCCGGGGCCTATAAGACGCGAGTGATTTTTTTCTAAAATCGAGCAGCACAGACACGCCGAAAGAATTCGCGACCAAGAAACTATATAGAGTGTTGCATATTGCCTGAGAGTATTGTACGGCATAAGTCTCGTTTTCTGAAACATAACGAGGCGGCTGAGCGGCACGCTTGAAAAACCGAAAAGGGTGCGTCTTATACGCGTGAAATCAGGGTAATAATCAACATTCTTTTCTTGACAACCCAATAACTTGAGTCTTGCACCGAACAGGATTTGCAGTAATTCAGATACTCCCGTATCCTAGATAAGTTCTGATTATTATTCGATAAAGCGAAGCTAAGACAAAAAGATGGATTAAGGGGCGACTTTGATACGCGCGAAGTTTGAAGTCAATACTGAAATTATCTATGGCTTCGAAAAATTGAGGAAAATTGGAAGTATAGCAGCTTCGTCCAAAAATCTTCCGAGAACCCTTGCTTACTCAGTGTATAAATTCGTAGAGACATATATACAGTTGCTGTATTTTTTGGCTAAAAATTGAGAAAACGAAATTTCCAATTTCTATGTTTTGTCAAATCAGTCAAATATCTGGGACGGCAGGGATAATTTGGATTAGGGAAGCTAGATTTATTTCCTTGTGAGCTACCTTGTGTGGAAGGCTAAATATGTGCAGTGGTACTTTTAAAGGCTTGTAGTATGCGTAGCTAGTATAGAAGACTCGGCATTATTTTGACAAAAACATGACAATCATCGTTCTCTCGATTTCTAGTCAAGAAGCAACAGACAGCAACCGCATTTATAAATGCCTTATATGGAAAGTAAGTCTTGAGCAAGCAAGGGTTTTTGCAAGATTTTTTTGGACGGTATGCAATTTTTTGGATTAGCATGGATTTTTGAAATTTATGACTTCAGACTTTGCATGGATCAAGATTGAAACCTTTGAGCATTGACTTTGAAGCTAGCTTTGTTTGATGAATGATATATCACATATTCATAAATGAGAAGTATGAAATGTGGCGATTTGGACCTATTTTGGTGCAAAACTTATGTTACAACCTATTAGGTTGTCCACAAATTAGTGGAGGTTCCTTACGCGATCGCAGCAGTGTAGGCAGGAAGTGAGGCTCCCGCCAGAGTGCCGAAGTTATGCCAGCGCTACGCCAGCATTTCGATCGATACACGTGTATTTCGTTGGGGCGGGGCTAGCTGACGTCCCCAACGAAATACACGTGTATCGATCGAAATGCTGGCGTAGCGCTGGCATAACTTCGGCACTCTGGCGGGAGCCTGAGAGACATTTTATTTGATAAAGCAAAGCAACATCCACAAGACTGTTTAAATCGCAAGAAAGTTTAGTTCCGCATGAAAATTCAAAGCAAAATTTAAATAAAGTTCAGTTACCCAAAAATTAGAATTTCGTCCGAAAAGATTCTGAGGACCTCCAACTTGGTCAAGCATATGCTTCCCATCTCAGACCATGTGCGTTTATGTCGCCTTTTGCAATGGCTGAAAATTGGAGATTTCAAATGGGCCAAAGATGCGAAAACACCGCCTTTTCCGGTTTCTTTCCTAAATCCAATAATTCTCGAAAACTAGCCCGTGCAGGAAGCTGTATATCTATGGTTGTGCTTTCAAAGGATTATAGCATTCAAAGTATTGCATTTACTAGAACATGCCAACTTAAATTTTCTCACCTTTTAAAAATACCGCAACTACATATATGAATTGTAGTAGACAGTATATGCCCTTGACCAATTTGGAAGTGCGCAGGATCTTTTTAAACGGAAATCTGATTTTTGTGCACTTGAATTTTTTAAGATTTTGCTTTAAAACTTCAAGTGGGTCCAACTTTTTGCGATCATTTTGGTGCAATATTGTAGAGGTTGCTTTGCTCTATTGAATGATATGTATGCGCATTCTCTCACGTGGTCGTGATCGTTTGAGGAACATGCATTGATTTCCGGACCACCCATGATGCATAACAGAATTTCCAAGCTCTCTTCCAAACAACTCAACGCATGGTTTGAAGAGATCCCACAACTCCTTGATTCAGCCTTATTACTCCAACTCTTTTTCGTTATTTCAATTTCAATATCGTTGAAGCCTTAATGTAGGGTCACGATCTTTTTGAAGCCTTATCGAGTACTGTTAATCATTCTATGGTGAGTCCTGTTTTCATTTCCATTTGTTTTCATTGCCACTTCTCGATATTCATCCTGTAAGGCCTAAACTTTTGTCCCGGAGGACATCTTAGCCTTGACTGATTTAGAATTTTAAATTTCAAGCTTATATGAATCCCATTCCTGCAGGAAGGGCTCGCTAAGTGTGGGTGGCAATTGAAAATCGCCGCGACGAGCATTACAGAAACCGCGCACAGGGAGTAGAATTGTTTGAAAATTTGTCATACTTGCACACCTGGATTACTGACGCTTCTTCTATATTGTCGATCTTTTAACTTCTTCAGTGAATGTCTTTTTTGTCCTCTAAAGAGCTGATTTCAAAGTAGAACTCAGATATTTAAGCAAAACTAATATGGGAATAGTCTGTAAACCTCACGAAATTATGAGAAACTGAGAAATTGTGTGTTGCGCATCATGCTGACGAGTTCTCTAAGTGCGGTCACTGCAGCTCGTCGCGCGCGACGGTTTCTAATTGGCACCCACACGTAACTATATGCACATTCTTGTATTGACTATTTGAATATTTCAGTACCTACGTCACCTACCACTGGAGTCACAACAGCCGCCGAAAGTAAGTTTGAGAAAAGTATTTACCACCCACACTAATGAGCTTCAATTACAGTAGCTGATAGCATAGCACAAAGTACGATTTTGGACACTTATGTTAGAAGCTAGGACCTAATGCATATGTACCATATGATTTAGTCGCACAAGCTCCTCCAATGTCGCCAGCAAGTCAACTCCATACCGCTCATTCTTCACATTATGGTGAACAATGTGATCAAGTGAAGGGAACGAAATTAAAGATTCTCACTTTTAGATGCTGCCACAATTCCTGATATACTCGACAGCAGCACACTTGGTAAGTTTGTCGCATTTTTTTTTCACATTTTCGATCATGAAATCATGTGAAGCGCACTTTTGGTAACTGCATTTTTTTTGCTTTCGCATCTTTTTAATACATTTTTGGGAATGCAGATGATAGCTACTAGATTATAGTGACTAAACTATGCATTAAAGTGTGAACTCCCGTATAGCTGCTACAAGCTCTTATGAAGTTTGGACTATCACAAAGAGCGCAGCAGAATCCGTCATCACGATTTCGTGAATGCCTTATAAATGTACAACGTCTTAGGACGTAGCAAAAATTTCGGTTAATTTTCTTCAATGAGCAGGGTAGATGGTTTACTAAGTGAGCAAATAAGTCATCAGATGGAGATTGCACAAACTTCACTAAGTTGAAAAAGTTTTTGATTAAGGTAAATAGTTATATGATAGTAGATCTAACGGAATAACTGCGTTTGCAAACTGTTGTCATTTCTGGCGTAGCCATCTATTCAAACGCAAATTTTGTCGCACGGCACTGAAGGAACGATATAATCACCGTCTGTATAGTCGTCCTCCCCCCACTAGACACCTAGGCCCGTATGCACGTACATCCCCGCGGGGAGGGGAGGGGATCTGAGAGGGGAAGCGGAATATTTCGCTATTCTACATATCTTTTTTCTTCTTTCTCTGTCTTGCTTTTAAAGGTTCTCATACTCTTATACCTGCGCATGATGGATGCCAGGTTACTGCCATACAAGACTAGATATTCACTATTTCGTCTGATCCCCTGGGAATCCCCAGGGGATCACCTCACATTTTCAAAGTCATTTATCTTCCTGAAAACTCAATGAAAATGTTCTGAAATTGTACTGAGGATATACTACAGCACTGCTAAACATGTTTATGGTATAAATGAGTGAAATCTCAAGATATCAAAATCTTCGATGAACCGCTGCTCGCGAGCCAGGGATTATCGAAAAACCAAAACCTTCAGATCCCATTTTTTCTGTCGAAAACATGCTCAGCAGTATCGTAGTATATCTTTAGTACAATTTTGCAGCCTTGTCATCGATTTTTCAGGGAGATAAATGACCTTGAAAATGTGAGGTGATCCCCTGGGGATCCCCAGGGGATCAAACGAAATAGTGAATATCTAGTCTTGTATGGGAGTAACCTGGCATTCGTTATGGGCAAGTATCAGTGTATTAGAACCTTTAAAAGCAAGACAGAGAAAGAAGAAGAAAGATGTGTAGACTAGCGAGATATGACGCTTCCCCTCTCACGATCAGATCCTCTCCCCTCCCCGCGGGGATGTACGTGCATACGGGCCCTAGTGGACGAAATCGAATTTGAATTGGAGCACGCCGGCTGCGGCAGAGCGCGGCACCGTCAAATGCATTTCAAACTAACAGTTTTCTTTTGTGTTTCACTGTCGTTGCATAGTGATTTCTTTCTGTTTTAATGATGATTGTGATCAAAATTGAAGGATTTTTTTTCTATGCGATGTTTCGTAATGCTATGCTCGTTTCTTTACTGTTTTCAGGAAAGGTTGGAAAAACGATGCATATGGGGAGTTTTTGACACGAAGTATTTGATGAATCACCACTCGAGACCTACCGAGAACAATTCCACCAAATTTCAAACTTGGGCGTTTTTCCAAACTCAACTTGGAATCGTAGTCAAAGAAACGAGCATAGAAGCACGATCCATTGCTCAAACAAAAGCAACAATTTCAGTACGGATTGAGAGAATGTCAGCATTCGAACATGAGGTTGTATCGTCGGGAAAAAACAAAAAAATTGTTTGAGATTGAAGTGACAGCTGCAGGTGCCGCGCTCTGCCGCAACCTGCGTGCTCTAGTTCAAATTCGAATTCGTCCACTAGGTGTCTAGTGGGGGGAGGACGACTATACCATTTGATTCAACTGGCTTGACATCGGCAAAGGCGGTGCTTCGTGACCTAATTAAGGCTAAAGGATTTTCGTTCACGACTGCCCCGTTTCGTGCATTTACACCACCGCAGGCGTGCCTTTTTGAAGCATTTCCAGCGTGACAGTACGCCGCAGCGCGCAAGGACTTGGTAGCTCGCAGAATCCCTATCTTTTGACTCTTTTGTTGACTACAAGAATTTCACATCGTTTTTTCTTCTTATTTTTGGCAATCAGCCGTTCTAAAATCTATGTGAGACCATCGCCGCGAGCAAAATAGAGAAAAGAACGACCTTCTTTGTAGTTGCAGTGGTGAATATCATGGCTATGATTGAGATTGCATGTTTTCCTCAATGTTTTACAATGATTTGATATGTTTCCTAGGACAACCACTGAAGTGATTATTTCAGCACTCCTACATTGGGGGCACCATGTAGGAGTGCTGAAATAAACATTGGAGTGGCTTCATCCAAGGAAACTCCATGATAGCCACCATTGCTTATGGACAAAGCACTCTCTTTCACCTAATTCTGCCCGAGGCGATGGTTCAACGTTTTGAAAGAATGTTTGGTGGGTAAAAAGGGAGAGGAATTCAAGAAATGTGCCTAAACAAATTCTTTCCTTACCTTTCAGTATTCATCAACGTGGAGCGTAGCATAGTTGAGCATCGAGACAACCTAAGAGAGAGGAAGAACGAATGACTGACTGAAATATGTAAACTAAGAAGAAAAAACTATGTGAAATACATAAATCAACAAAAAAGGATAAAGGACAATGTTGCTGCGAGCTATGAAGTCCCGGCGCGCTGCAGCATACTGTCAAGCTGGAAAGGCTCCAGAGAGGCACGCCCACGGTGGTGTAAATGCACGAATCGGGGCAGTCGTCGACGAATATCCTTTAGGTAATGATCAGAAAGCACTCGCGCGAGAGAGACGCAGGTGCGTCACAGGCGAGAGCGGCCTCAAGTAGATCACAAAACCCCGCCCTAATGGTGCCAAGCCAGTTGAATCAAAGGTTAGATATCGATCGCGCCCCTCGGCGTGTTTGCGATGATCGCGACGCGCGGCTTGAACGATGCGAGAGCACGAGTGACAGCGGCAAGTTGCATTAGGACAAGACAGCGGAGTCTCATGCTTCGCAGTGACGGCTAGTACGCCCAGTTGACACTCAAGTCAACTAAGCCATAGAATGCTTGAATATGATGGCTGATAGTAGACCGTATCGAAGGTAGTCTGTAAATTATAGTAGAAATAGATTACATAATTTTTGATTAAATTATATTATTATTATCACCAACCAAAATTGAAAAACTCGAGAAAACTTTGCACACATGTGACGGCAAGCACAAACCTTTTTTGATTTCAACATACTAGATCATTCAAAGTAAGGTCGAGCACAAGCACTTGTTAACCACAACTATACTCAAATTTTTTAGTCTTCGAATGTAGAAATGAATGAGAAAAAATCGCAAAGTCAAAAGTAGAATGGTAGGAAATGTGATATGACATTGAACATACCAATCAAAATCTTTGCAGCATGTACCGATCCAAGGTCAAGTGACTTAATGCGCGATATAAAAAACCGCGAATGTTGCCATAAACATGGTTTCATGAGTACTGCTTGATTTCTTTATGTTCTGATCTTCTGATTACCAACTAGAAAAGATGAATTATCCAAGGTTAAAGTCTAAGGTTAAAGGCAGGTTAAGGTTAAAGGCACCGTCCATCCTAAGTTGAGGATGTTGAGCTATCGGCAGCATATAATAGTAGGGCCTCCTATCAAGCCAATGTCCAAGTCGCGGCGCAAAATGCCGCTTCGTAAGCGAGAAAATCGCTTACGAAGCGGATAGCGAAGACGCACGAGGACCCCCATCCGTGTTTGCCCTCCCCCTCCATGCTCGCCCCGTGCGCGCTCAGCCAATCACCGTTCCGAAAAGCCGGATTGCGGGCTCTCCGAAACTGGGATTGTTGGGGTTTTTGCGCACTCTCAACTTCATAGTCGGAATCAGGGACATGAGAATGCCCTGGGACGATCGAAACATGGAAGTCGAGAATCTGGGTGGACAGTGCCTTTAAATGCTCCAAGTACCTTATCACTGCATTCATGTGTTTGAAGTCATACCGCAGTAATGCGCTTTAGAAGTTCTAAGTTTTCGATGTTACATACACTTATATATTTTGAAGAATGAAATGTGATTAATACAAATGTTTACTTAGATGTGAGAATCTGATCTTCTTAGTGCAATTTGAATTTTTCCGTCATGAGATAGACTATAGATTGATTAACAGATCGGAAAAATTTGCATAGAGGGTAGGCCGGTTTGCGCGACCGTGATGGTTCGCGCATTCCATACAGGACCGCAGCCGCGCGCGAAACACGTGGGGGGGGGGGAGGGTGAAGTAGAGGACCATGTGTCGCTGAAGGGTGTGTTACCACGCGGGAATCTGCGGCACAACATGCAACTCCACATATCACGACCCCCCCCCCCCCCGAGAATGGGTCGCGAAATTTTTGAAAGTTACTTATATGGGTTATAAAAATGTGCAAGTGACTTGTTTATACTTGTAAATATTTAGAATAATTTTTAAAATTTTTTAAAAATTCAAATTAGCCTTGTAAAAAAAAATTTTCGGGGGCGTGGCCGACGCCACGCCCCCTTTTTCCAGATTTTAAGGATTGGGGATCCGCAAAACTTTTGAGAAGCACCCCAAAAAATTTTTCGGAGTGCATGGCTAACGCCACGCACCTCCACTGGAAAAATTTTTTTGTCCCCCCCCCCCGGTCCGAAATCCTGGGACCGCCACTGAGATAAGGTACTAGCTCCGCGCCTGGTGGAGCTAATCGGCGACATAAAGCCCCTTTCCCAATAGAGGATAGAGGCGAAATTTCCCTTTGCGGCACGTCGAGACAAGTCAAAGAACATAGTGGCTTTGGTATACGCAGTACGGCCGTCTTCCAGCGAGATCGTTCTGAAGTCAGGATTGAGGAAAACAGAAGTCAATGTTATTCGATACGATATATCTATATATTAATCACCGTATCTGTGCTTATTTTATTCTCACGCACTTACGATGCAAACCATTTTATTTGAGGGGCTGTCGAAGAAAACGAAATTTCCAACAACAATCTTATTCCTATGCAAGTCACAATCGTTCCTGGGATCCAGTCTTCGCTGGGAGGTAAATAGCTTTTGTCTTTCAAGCGTTTGTGGGATTCGCGGTGAGACAGAGACTCATTTGGCGAGAAACTTACAAACTTGCCTGTTAGCCAATTGAGTAATAATTAAGAAAGTATGAAAACGGAATCAGATGTACGCGAACGCACGGAGAAATCAGTGGGTTTCTGGCTAATTTTACTTTATTTTTCAATATATTGAAAGTGTAATTTAGACTCGCCCCAGTCTGTTCGGCAGAAATTCACGTACAATCTTTCATAGTTAACACATTCTTCTTACAGAAATTTTTACATTTCAGGTCTTTTGCGACCAATTAGTATAACTCCTGTTTTACCACAGACCAATTTAAAGTAAGTTTCCAAGGATTAAAACAGTCAAGATGGATTTTAAGATTGCAAGCAACTGCAAAATTGCTATCTTATAGATCACCGGCAACGTCACAAGCAGCAGACTCGCAAGCACAGACCTCATCGGTCCCGTCATCGGTACCTTCTCTTCCAAGCATTTCATCAGCAAAGGCGTTTCAGTCTGCTGGCAGGGGTCAGCGCTTAGGACACTCAACAACCGGAGGAAGCGCTCTCAGTCGCTTATTGAGAGCTCGCTCTTCGTCAGGCTTTCGTTCAGAGAAAAATCCACCATCCGCTAGGCTTCGCAGAAGCATACCAGAAGATGCTAACAGAAAATTAGGAAGAGGAAGCTCTACTGCTGATGCGAACAACACTCCTGCTTTTAGCTCAAGCACAGCCAGTCGCTTCGGCTTCAGCGCTACACGCCAAGGATCAGCCTCAGGAATGTCAACAACAGCCAGTAACTTTGGCAGACGGATTCGCCCTAGTGACGGTTATCCTAGTAGTACGCAGGAACCCAGTTCTCGCAGTGTACAACCACTGTCAGAAGCATTTGGACATCGACTTCCCTCAAGTCGCTTTGGATTACCACCTGCGCCTGAAGGATGGAAGGAAAGGCTATCACAAAGGCGCAATTTATTGGCATCAAAAGCAGGTACTGGTGGATTGTCTCAACAGGATGGACAAGCCCTGAACACCGCGCAAGAAAGCTCCTTAAGATCAACGCCTTTTAAAATTAGAAAAACACCCAGTGAACGTCTACGCGAGAGTTCTGTGAAGACGGCTCGTCCGATTAGAAGCAAAACATTGCGAAGACGTCCCAAACCGGTCGACAATCGACCTTCATATTATGGAGCTCAGGGGAAGATCAAGAAAATTAACAAGTAAAAGTTCTGAAATGTTAGCTTGTCTTTTAATACAATATACTTAGGAGAAACCTGCGCAAACCAGTTCGAATGGCTAGAGAGACCAACTTTGAAGAAGTATGATGATCTTGTCAACAACTCTTCTTTTTATACACTAACGATCTGAATTAAAGGCAGCATCCAGGCAGATTTGGACGTATGGGGCTCTAACGTGGAAACATTTTCGGGGGTCTAACTAAGATACTGCCCGAGCGGCAGCGCAAACGGTGCAGTCGCGGCTGAGAAATTCGTCCGCAAACCAGCCCCCGTGACCGTATTCGCATGGATTCATGGCTCGGCACCATCGTTTCGCGTGGATCCGAGCGCGAAAGCGCCACGAGTCCATGCGAATACGGTCACGGGGGCTGGTTTGCGGACGAATTTCTCAGCCGCGACTGCACCGTTTGCGCTGCCGCTTGGGCAGTACCTTAGTAAGACCCCCGAAAATTGTTTCCACGTTAGAGCCCCATACGTCCAAATCTGCCTGGACGCTGCCTTTAAGGATACTACGCAAAAACAGTCACCAGATGCACAATCGGATAAACGTGTTGCAAATGCGACCCAATCACCACGAATGAAGACAGCGTGAGTTTCAGATTCAAACCGAATCAGACGAGTTCAGCTTTATTCAGTGTGGGTTACTTTGATGAAGTAGGTCCAAACGAGGACGTGAAGCCTGCAGAGATCATAATCCATGAGCAAGATGCTGATGGTTCCTTCAAGGTATGTTGTTTTGAAACTTAGTAGTAAATGATAAAGACAGCAGTAATCACAGGGTGTACCAATAAAAATGTGAACACCGTTTGGTCGTTAATAACTACCTTGCTTTCAAATCTTTCGTCGAGTTTGAGACACCATTTTGTAGAGCTTTGACTTAGATTTACAGTATGGAGCAAATCACCGATCGCTCTTCGTTACTGTAGGATTACGGTGAAAACTTTTAACAAGTAGATCCATTGCAAAATATGCCACTTGACAAGGTTTTTTTTCAAAACATCTGAAAAATCGGTACTGGGGTTTTCGCGCACGCTGATTCCACAACACAACTTTTTACGAGTGTTTTCAGCCTTTTTGGAGGTCTAATCACATTTCTGACAAATGCTGAAAATTCGCTTATTATGGTTTACCTGGGATATTGGAAAGAAGTATCACAGTAAAGTGGGAATTTCATATTCGAAATCAGCGGCTTCCATTACCGTAGTATAAGAGTTTATGGCTTTAGTTTGTTCTGAGGCAGAATATTACCTCCAACGGCCTAAAATCCTTGTCGAAGTTCCTACCGTAATCCTACTGTAATGAAAGCGATCAATGTTCTCTCCATGCTCCGCTCCATAAATCTAAGTTGAACTTGAACAGAATGGCACCTAAGCTCGGCGAAGGACATGAAAGCAAGGAAGTTACTAATGATCAAACAGTGTTTACATTTTTTTTGGGACACCCTGTATAAGTGTATATATATATATATATATATAGCAGTATTTTGTAATAGGAATATTTTTGTAGCTGGAACTTCATATGGCATGTAATATGACCTCAACTGGTCGTTTAAATCTCAGTGGAAGGGCTCCTGCTGGATTAATTCCGAAACGAGTTTCTGTGAATGGAAAAGAAATTTGGATTGCGAGCTGATTGCTTTACTTGATCGTGTGACACTAATTCAATTATAACCTCTATGACCTCATCTGGCGTTGATTTTTTGATTATTCATGTAAAAGCCAGATATTTGATAGCCGATTGTCTGGGCTATTTTGTAAATAAAAGTAGCAATTGACGTCAACACGAACATGCACAAAGGCAGATAATTGATGCAAGTTGGCGAGTTAGAGGGGAGGTTGAGGTGCTCCAAACACGTCGAAATATGAAGCATAAATGTGGGATAAGTTGGGGACTTATATTTGTAAGTAGCCGTTGATTCAACTGAGTTGGCTTCTGGAAGGCGGGACTTTGTGACGTAATTAAGGCCTTTCGCGCCCGCGACGCACCTACGTCTCTCACGCGCGAGTGCCTTCTAATCATTACCTAGCCGTAATTAAATCACGAAACCCAAGCCAGTTTAATCAAGGATGTAACATTTGTGCAAAACTGGCACAGAGTTATGGCATGCCCACTGAGCTTCATACGCAGATTGATGGGGATTGTAATTTTGCCAATCTGTCGGCTAGGAAAAGCAGGCACGCACTTTTTTAGAATCTTTCAAATCTTTTAGCACTTAACTGAACGAAAACATCGACGGAGGCGTGCACAAACCTGTTTTTGTTCTAACAAAAGAGGATACTAACTTAGATTTGCCTTTTGAGATGGGACACATACATTTGGAATCAGCTTGGAACGCTGATTCCACAAATGCTATTTCTAGCTGCTTAGCATTATTCTGAAGAGAGTTATAGTCTCTTTTCTATGCAAAGTTTGCGTGCTCTTCGACCTATTGATGCCTACGATGTCGACGTCCAGGTGAGTTTGCCATTGTTCTAATGCTCCCTTTCAGGATTGTTTTATTGATCTCATGCTAGTTTAACATCCTAGCACTTTTTTCGAGTAGATTCTTAGCTATCACACGCCGTCTTACGACATTCAGAAGTTTGTTAGTCACTCACAACAGCAAGCCCATAACTCGCTTCGGAATAACGCTAAGCAGCTAGGGACAGTACATTTGGAATCAGCGTTCAAAGCTGTTTCCAAATATATGTGTCACATCTCAATATGGTATCCTTCCCTTGTAAGCGTTCCGCAGCAATGAGCAATTGAAAATATTCTTTGTTCTACTTACTATTTTTCATTCACATGGCGATGAAATATGCAACGCTTCTCATATCCTAAATGAGTCTGCATCAAGCAACGTGGCCTTCAATTGCTGCTAAAGTTGACTGGCCGCCGAGATCAGCGTCCTGATTACCCTATCTCTTCTACAAACATTTGCAGTATGCAAAAGCTTTATGTTAAAATTTTTGATGCGACTTCTCCCTTGATTCAAGGAAATAGATTCGAGATTCTTTTAATCTCTGCTGAATAAAAGTATGTAACGGGCTTGCCAGCTTTGGAGGATGCCAGCTTTGGAGGAAATGTAAGATAATCGTAACAAATCAACACTAGCTGTTGTGCGCACAGCTGAACTGAACAGGAAACTCTGATACACAAAATAGTTTGTGCCTGGTATCACTTTTGCGGAACTTAACCTGACTTGTTGAGTACGTGCTCAGACGGCTAAATATTGCTAAACGCGTATATGATAGTGTTATCAGTAAGAAATCGTGACATGTTTATAACAAGTTGTAAGTTGTAAAGCCTTTAGACGTATATAGTAAACGGTGTATTAGGAAGGCATTTGCGTTTTCATCTCAGACAAAGCAAAAAGTCCACATGAAAATTTCAAGCACTTACAGAGGACCAGTTTGTTAGAATGGAATCCATTGAAGCAGATTTTGTGCAGAACAGTAATCACAGTCGTTGCACCGTTTGCTACAGTCAGCGCGTCTGCTATCAGGGTATTCGTGGCGAAACCAAGTCGAAACCGGATCTTTTTACCCCTTGCATAGCAAAGACTCATGATGGCTCGCATTATCCAAGAGAAATGAAAACTATTGGACAGCGCTCGCTAGTCTATGACGGGCGGACTCAGCTATAGCAAAGAACTTCTGGCTATGCGTTGTTATGGAATCAGCCAAACTTACTTTTACTTTCCAATGTAAACCATCGCTCTTGTCTTCCTTTACTGGGGTTAACGAAGGTATCAACGCCACAATAAATGTTTTACTGTAAAGTTCCACATTCACTGTTTCAGGACACTTCCCGATTATTTCCATACTACTGGCCGAGGTAGGATTTGTTTCGATCACTTCGAGAGTGATGGATGAGTGACTGTTGAAACGAATCCATGATTAATCGGATTTGTCTCTTCAATTTACCTCGTTGAAATCCTTTCATAAGGTATGCCCCTAAAACTCCTAGATGCTCGAATGTTTTCATACTGTAGCTGGTCTATAAAACATACGGTAATACGCTATGCAAGCACTCTTCCTCATAGAAAAGGGAAAGAGCACTTGCATGGTTTGCCATCTCTATGTACATAATTTTTAAAAATTGTCTGTTTGGAGGGTATGTGCTCTATAGAAACGCCCACGGGTGAACCGATTAAGCTGAGACTTTGCACACAGATGTTTTTTACCCTGGAGGCGGTTTTAGGCTACTTTTCACGAATATTCGTCGGGTCCTTCCATTGATTTATTGATTTTACTGACTCCTAGAAAGATGCAAGCTTGCAGTCACTATCAAGTCATTTCACCACATCATGTAAAGGGGACGGGGTAGATCTCGTTTTTACTCGGTGGCAGCATGCGGTGACTCTACGTGAGTCGCTTAGTGGACCTCTCTATTTTTAAGGCTTTCTCGCAAGTTGTATTCTGTGCAGGAGAGGAGGGCAAAGCGAGGTGGTCGGGTGTAGGTGAAGCGCAAGACAGCGGAAAAATAAGTCCTGCCATTTCGCTAGGGATTGTATACCTGGACGGTTTTGCTACCCAGTTCCGTGTGAAACCGGTTATGCCAGCTATAACATGTAAGGGGGGGGGGCTCGCAGTGCAGGTGAACAATGGCCCGGGCTGGACCGGAAAAGTCAACTAGTAGTAAATATGCTTCACTTAGAGCAATGCTGATGAGACATGTGTACGTAAATCATCATTTTCTATACCTTTTACATTTTCCCAGTCCCATAGAAAGTCCATGAATGAAAAAGAGAACTGCAAATTACCATACGTTCACAATGCGAGGGTAATAGAGCATTCAGCGGCTTGCTCAAACACCAGTTCGTCTAGTATGATGTAAGCGAAATACTCACTTTGTCGCTCGATTAATTGCAACCTATTTATTTCGAATACGTGTGCCATTGCGCACCAAGCAGGACTATAGATGACTGCAGCGTCATGGAAATTGCATGCGTGACGTCTAATTTGTTGCGTTCTCTAGGACAGCAAGAAAAATGTAAAAGGGAGCACAGATGAATCAATATGTGGATTCTAGGGGAACTGCTGTCTTGGTTTCACTGGTCTTTCTCTTGGATAATGCGAGTCATCATGAGTCGCGTTTGCTAAGCAAGTGGTGAAAAGCGACTTGATCCAACCACGAATACCCTGATAGCAGACGCGCTGAGTACTGTTGCAAACGGTGCAACGACTGTGCTCTTCTGTGATTTTGTGGGTCTTTTCAACCTAGCCAGCAAGCGAAGCTTGAATGCGAAATGTTGCTTCCGATTTATGCTAGGCTACACCGTTTTACGGTCGTCCCGGAAATAATTTCTTAAACTAGGAGATTCTGGTAGTTCGATGCGGTTTTTCGCGCGTTTTCAAGCGACTATCTTTATATTGCGTATAACATACGCTTCCAGAAAAATTCCAAAAACCATGACCCATGGTTTTTACCAATGCCAAGTTTCGCTATTTTTGAAAATTATTGAATGATTCCTTGAAGAAGTCCAAGTAATAAATAGAACAAACCTTATAGGGAACAAAACAATTTTGCTCCCCTTCCCATAGATCGCCATGATTTTTGGACAGAATTTTAAACAACACAATCGAATTTTAGCAGGCCTATATCAAACGCAGACTTGTCAAACATCAACAGATTCTCGTTTTTGGTACTTTTAAATGTGGTTTATTATTTTGAACTTTTTTGCAAAACAAATGAGCGTTCAGGGGTTCGAAGGTTCAAAATGTTGAGCCTTGAATTCCCCGGGTACAGCTCGGGACCAGTTTCTCGCCGGTTGATGTTCTGTGAGGTTTTATGTCAACCATATATGGAATGTGGTGGCATCAAAAAATAATTTTAAATTTTGGAAAGTATGCTATGGAAGAGAAAAAATTGTTATGCATCCTATAGGGTTTGCCCTATTTATCCTACTTGAATTCTTTCGTAGAATCAGTAGAAAAGTCGAGGAATTTGACCATGGCAAACCCATGGGTCGCATTTTCGGTAATTTATTAAGACCTCTTTCGTTGATCTGCAATATGAAGTTATTGTTTGAAAAGGAGTGAAAAACTGCATTGAATACCACCAAGATCATCCATAAATCTCAGTTTCGCCGAATGTGACGCTTGTTCAAAAAAGCAAGAATACTTTTGGGACGCTAGTATATTTACTGAAGAAATTAGAGCCAAGGACGATCATGATGCAGTGGCTTTCTTCATCAAAACAAGCTCCTTCTTTCACTACAGTACTCGTGTTGGCAACAGGACAAAGGTTAGCATCAGTCCGTTTCATGAGAGAGTAGAGAGACCAGTGCTATCCAGATGTCCAGCTATGTATTGTCACTTGATGACGGTTCGATCATGAAACCAATACAGTCCAAAATGGTCGAGTGTCTCGTGCAAATAACAATCTTATATATAAAGCTGAATGTCTGTTTGTATGTATGTATGTCTGTCTGTCTGTGTGTCTGTCTGTCTGTCTGTGTGTACGTATGTTCCGAATAGAAAATTCCATTTCTGAACCGATCCGGACCAAACTCGGCACACATACACTTCGGGCCCCGGCGGGTGTCATAGGCTACTTTTCGTCATCGATCGATATCGATTTTATCGATTTTTATCGATTTTTTTGCTGAGTTCACCTACGGGGCTGGGAGTTCGCACAGAGGGGTAATCGAGCATGGGGATTCCGAATACAATATTGGTTTTCGGGATTATCGATTACTTTTATTGATTTTATCGATTTTTTTTTGCAAAGTTTGAGCTAGGGGGCTGGGAGCTGGCACAGGGGGGTAATCGAGCATGCTGATCA